CAATTTCATGGTTAATTGTTTTGCACGCGGCATTTGGTCCGAGTTCAGCATCTCGGCATTCAACATCGTCTGCGCTGCCTCAATGCCACATTAAGTTTCATAATTAGCACACCGAAATGATTGGAAACTTTTGCGTGGCGAAAATAAAAGAAGATTCGTATGGCAAAAATTGTCTCCGCTGAAGGCAAATAAGCAACATATGGATGGGATCGTATTGGAGTTGCAGCGCCAGTAAACAGCGAGAAAAACAAAACTCTTTCAGTATTTAAATAAATATTTTGTAACAATAATTTATGAGGAAATTATTTATAGACCCAAGCTACATAAACGGGTTTGCCAAAAACATTTGCGTTCATTGTTCTTGATCTTATTTATTGTCTGGCTGCCCGAAATACTGCAGTAAATGCACTTTGGGGCACATAAATTCGGCGGCGTGTAGGCGAGTGGCAAGTGCATTCCACACCATACGATTCCAGTCCATTCGGCAGACAAGAGCCGCCAGTTGTTTCACTTACTCAACGATTTTACATTGGCCCGGCAGCTGCAGACCGAGGAGCACTTTTATCTTTGACATTTACTAATGACAAATTTATTCACGCTGTCACTTGGTCGCCTGTTCCTCCGGCTCACTGTCACGTACTCGAAGTTCCTTTTCGAGGTTGCTCAATTTCTGGCCGAGTCCCATCCTTTGTGCTCCTTTGTGTGGGTAACTAGAGCAGGACTTGTCACAAAAGCCGCGACTCGAGATTTGTTTGCACTACTTTAATTAGGAGTTCGTCTCTCTCCGCGCAGTTAACATTTGCTATTGAAGTGCAGCTCTTTGATCTCTTCGGGCCACGGATTGATTGATAGATCGACTGATGGATGGGTCCGACTGCTTGGAACAGTAGCCGAGTCTCCGAGTAATTAATCAAGTTCATGAGCACACAAATAAATGACATTAACGACTGCTGGAGATGTGAAAAACATTATTTTTGGTAACCGAATGCTCCACATATGCAAGACAAACAAATGAGGCAAAATTACTTTCATATTCGGAGCAATCAAATACCCAACAATACCAGTTTTACCATCGGTTGGTTGAACAATTAAAATCTCAACGATTCCAATTTCTAAACCATTATTATTTTAAGCTAAATAAGATTTACAAAGGCAAACTTCCGGATACGCGCCCTTCGCTCAACTCTTCAATAGATCAACTCCCTGGAGGCTCTCGAAACGACGTTGATTGGTTTGGAATCCATAGAGTGGGCCAATTATTTGCGTAGGCTTCTGAGACTTCTCTATGAGAAGACAATGCCGAATTCGGCGGAGCGCGAAAGAAATGAGGCGCCTTCTGATGCGGCATTGTTATTGGAGAGCGACGTTCCCCCAACTCCTGTGCTGCGATAACCATCCTTCAAAATGAAATTGCGCGGAAGCATTTGCAGGCAGTTTATTGGCTTCATTGCGAACCCTTTTGTCCAGGAACATATATTTATATATCATTTTTTCCCTGATTAGCATGGGGCGTGTTCGGAGAGCAGCCATTCAAGCGGCAATAATTCGCTTCGCTTTGCATTGTTTAAATTTTACAAAATTTATTGCGCACACACGGATATACATGTTTATTCACAAGCCAAATCGTTGCCATTTCATGTTTCGTGTCTGGCGAACATTAAAGCGAAAAACGAAATGAATTGCAAATTGGTCGAGTTCCAGCGACTTTTGAAGGCAGATCCGCAGAACAGGCCATCCGAGCCATCAAGATCGTTTCGGTTTCGCTGAGTGCGAGGAGTTTAATGATCGCCCAGCGTTGATGATTTTCCAGAAGAGATAAATGACAGCGACCACCGAAATCGCCCGAAGGTTTCTGCACATATATGCATAATGAAAACAAACAATCATTTGCACAATGTGTTGAGAGCAGCGAGAACAAGACTTCGGTTCAAGTATTAAAAAAAGGGGGAGTACGGAATAAATTTAGAGCCGTGAGAGTAAACAAAATTTTAGCAGAAAATGAATATTAAACAAGAAAGGAAGCTAGCTTCGGCAAGCCGAAGCTTATATACCCTTGCAGTCATCAAATATGTCGAACAAAACGCATAAAGGCTAGACAACATCGAAGCTAAGACGATTTTTCTATTCATTTCCCATTTTTTTGACTATAGAGATATGGGAGCTATACGATATAGTTGTCCGATTTTGATCAAATTTAACTCGTAATTCAAGAGTCGTAAGAACACTCTATATTCCAAAAATCATACTTTTCTGATGAAAAACAACGATGTTATCAATTTATTTCCATTAATTCTATATATAATTTTCGATCTCTCCTATGGCAGCTATATGATAGAGTTATCCGATTTTGATCAAATTTAATCCGAAATTCAATAACAGTTAGAAAACGCCATCTTGAAGAATTCAAGTCGATCTGATGAAAAACAACAGAGTGAGAATTTTTTATTTCATTCTCTTGTATTGGAGCTATCCGATATAGTCGGCCGATCCGGCTCGTTCCGACTTATATACTGCGTGCAACAACTACACAACTTTTGGGAAAGTTTCAGCTCGATAGCTTTAAAACTGAGAGACTAGTTTGCGCGGAAACGGACAGACGGACAGACGGACAGACGGACAGACGGACAGACGGACAGACGGACAGACGTACATACATATTTCGATTCTGCTCGTGATGCTGATCAAGAATATATATACTTTATGGGGTCTGAGGTGTCTCCTTCACTGCGTTGCAAACTTCTGACTGAAATTATAATACCCTTTTGCTCTGCAAGGGTATAAAAATATTGTTAGTACATCGTTTTTACTTTAATAAGAACACATTATGAACTTCTAAATAATTAATATCCTTACAGCGTTCTTTGAAATCGTCTTCAGACGAAAACACCCCCAAGTAAGGAGTTGCTTTCATATGAAGTTTCAATGGCAAGTCTCCTATCCTTATCTCGAAACCAATTAAATATGCATGAGCCCAATTTGCAAAGACGCCGAGATGCTCGCCTTGGTGTTGTCCTTGGCCTAGGCCCAAGAATCCTGTAAGATATTTTTTAATCAAGCCCGAGACGCAACACCTTTCGCTTTCATTGCGCTTTTATACCGCCCACATAACGAGCAGATTGTTCCCGGCACGTTTCATCATTAGTCGGTGCAAATATTTGCATAATGTCCGGGCAATATTTGCCATTTGCCATTAGGCCCAGCCGCCGGAGATTCGGGAAGAAAGAAATATCTTTCGGGGCTTAAGGACCAGAAGCCTGACAAAGTGCCGTCCATTGAGGGGATAATCGCAGCTGCTGGCTGACCATAAACAGCATTAGAACCGCCGGTGGAGTGTAAAACCCCGCCCCGCCGAACGCTATGCTAATCATAGTAATTCGAGTCGAGAAATGTGTGACAGTTGTTGGTCTAATCCCCGCACAAATGTCACGAATCGCGCTCTCGTTTGTCTTTCTGCCCGGAAAGCGGGGCAGAAAGGTGTCGGCAAGCCAAATGTAATAATTTTAATGATTTTTCATAAGTTCAAAAACGGGGGAGCGGGGCACACACACGCCGCAGCGGAACAGCAGGGGAGCTGGCTGCCACAAGGGGTTGCAACTCGAATAAAGAGTACCTTAGGTGCCAGTATTTAAATACTACTTTGCGATATAACTTCACAAATTAAATTTTTAATTAAATAAAATATATTTCCTTACTTGTTGATTAAAAAATATTTAATTTTTTTATAGTAACAATGTTCCTAAGAATGTTATTAATGTAAACTTATTTTTATGAATATTTAGTTAAGTTTGGCTTTAAAGATATAATATACCCTAGAAAGTCAAACCCTCGAGGGTATTGAAAAACACTTAAGGGTAGCACTCCCCTGCACCCCCTTCACCCCCTCTCCCCTTCTGGCTATGAAAACCTCCTTCGCCTGTGTTGTGACATTGCTTTTCCTGCTGCACCCCTTTTCGGCTTATTTAACATGAAGACTTACACACCACTGAATGCATTGTTGGGATGTTATAATTGCGCATATTTTAAAATACAAATTAGCAACGCTGTAGCTGAATTTCAATAGCGTCTCTTGAATCTCGAAAAATGCCCGCCGGCAGTTCGGTGCGCACATTTTTTGGGAGTGTGCCTGGCTCCGGGGCACAGTCTCTATGGGTCTTGGTCTCGATTCTCGGATCTCGGATCTGAAATCCCCAGCTCCGTTCTGTCGCTTACATTGCCTTGAACCATGCATCATGGCGTCAACAGTCAGCCTGTCCCTCAGCCAGCCAGCAGCTCGTGTGGCATTCGTTTTGGCATTTCATGCATAAAACACCGAAACCCAGCCAAACCAGACCGGAATCCGCATCCCAGACGAGTAGTTTGTCAAGTCATGCAGAGTAAAAAACGAATATCTATCAGTATTTGCTCGAAAAATAAAGATAAAATATAGAACCGCGGATCTATGATTGTTGTCAAGCCCCCTTGACAATTCCCCTAGAATCTGTTATGTTTGATTCATAATACAAACTTATTTAAATATTTAATATCTCCTTTTTTTCTTAGTGCACTGCTTTGAGTTTTTCTTTATTGTTTCCCTGTTTTTGGCTACCTGCGCATAAATAGCCCAAACACTTTTTGGGATTTTCCACATGGCACCTGGTATTTGGAAGGGGCTCTACATTTATCACTGCCAAACTCGTCATGACATTGCCATTGCCACTCGCATTCGCATTCGCATTTCCCCCTTAACCAGAACAAAGCTCTCGAGTGTAAATGGAATTTCTTGGAAAATGAAATTGCCAAGAAAAAGAAAAGCGAAAACTGCTACGAAAATGCAGTCCAGATGATTGCTGGATTTTTGTTTTTGAGTTATTGGTTTTGAATTGATGATGTGTCTGGGAATGAGATGAAAAGGGTTCGGTCGGATTGGTTTTTGGGGCAGTTGCAATCCCAAAAGATATGCAAAATCCATTACCTTTGGTTAAGTTGTAAATGTCAGACCACTTTAAATCGCCAATTGGTTATAGATTTTACACTAGGTTTTATTGGTGGGTATAAATTTGTAAAAACAGTTACAACTAACCGCTCTTCTGGAGTTTTTTGGCCAAGAACGCGTCCCGCGCGGCCTTGCGAATGGTCTTGCCATTCGGATTCATGGGCAAACTATTGGTAAACTGGACTCCGGCATGCAGTTGCTTCTGGATGGCCGGCAGCCTCATGGCCACGTGCTTCACAATGTCCTTTGCTAGAAGGTTGGATTCTTTGTTTGCCACCACCAAAGCTCCTGCCTCATCGCCATGCCGCTCATTGTAAATGCCCACTACACAGACGTGCCGCACTTGTGGCAGCTCCGAAATAACGTCCTCGATCTCAGAGGTCCAGAACTGGAGGCCCTGGTACTTGAGGACCTCCTTTTTGCGGTCCACTATGTACAAGAAGTTCTCACTGTCGAAGTACCCAAGATCTCCGGTGTGGAACCAGCCCTCTGAGTCTTGCATACGACTTGTTTCCTTGGGATCTCCGTAGTATCCATTCCAGGGTCGACCTGTGTTTGCATAAATTTCTCCCACCTGATTGTGGGTTAGGTTCTGGCCAAACTCGTCCACAATGCGGATCTTTACCCCAGGAAGAGGTATGCCAGCAGAACTAAAGTTCTTGTTCGTATAATTTGTGGCTATAAGTCCGCATTCGGTTAATCCATAACTCGATGTGAGTGCTGCCCTTGGGAAAATCTTACGGACTCTCTGCAGAGCAGCCTGGGAAACAGAACTTCCGGAGTATCCACAGTTCATAACGGATTCCAATCCCTCCGACGAGATTTCAGGAGAGGATATCAGATCCGAAAGGTGGCGAGGTGGCAGTACGAATGAATTGATCTTATACTTCTTCACCATTTCCACAAAGTTCTTGGGTAAAAAGGGCTTGTTGCTGCTTACCAAAGTAACTCCTTGCAAACCACTCAAGGTAAATGCAAACAGACCTGAATAATAATCGAGACTGCTTGGAGTGTACACCACCAACTCGTTATTGATCGGCATTGATGTTATTAGAGCTTGGTTTGATACGCAGATGGGCTTTGGCAATCCGGTTGTTCCCGAGGAGCACAAGATGACCGCGGTTTGCTTTCCTCCTTCTACCAAAGGTTCTGGCCTGAAAGTATATCGGTTTAAGTTTTGAAATATAGCGTGTAGTTCCTTCTTACTGGTAGAATCTTTCAGTTTCCGTAGGCTCCAAAAGGACTTCAATGCTCCGCACCTCCTCAACTTTTCCGGTGAGCAAATAGAATTCCGGTTTCCATTCACTGGTAGATGAACGAATTTTCTGATACACATTTCCATCGCAAAATATTATGGAAGGCTTAGTTCTTGAAAAAAGCACTTTTGTTGTGGCTGCATTAGAAAATCCCATTTGCTTATTGGACTCAGGTTAAATAACACTTTTTATACCCACCTTCATCCATCTTTGTATTTACCGCATGAAATGGAGTTCCGTTCATCAAACAGGCCACCGCCAAAGGCCTCAAATAAGTGGAGTTCAAGCCCACAATCCCAATCACATCTTTGTGGTTCAGACCTCTTTTCTTAAAAAACTGAGCGACTCGAATGGCCCAGGTGAGGGTTTGCTCAAAAGTTAGTGTTGTTCCGTCATCAGCAGATATCTAAGTTTGAGTATTATTACAAGATCACAGTTATAAGAGTTACATTACTAATCAGGGTTGCAGTCACCTGGCACACATTCTTTGGCCAATTGCTCATGGTATTAAAAATGATTGTGCCGAATGACACGTCATCTTTGTAGATGGAACCCCGGTCTCTGGGTCCACTCCAAATTTTTTCCGAACTATCAAACGAAACTGGTAATTGTGACATTTTTATTAATTAGAATTATAGGACGGACTTTTCACAAACACAAAACCTTAGACACTGAACCCGATGGACTTGTAACACTGATATTTATTGGAGATCCCATAAGGGCATTGAAAAGGTAACTGTTTTGTATTTCGCTCCACTTTTAGCATTCCTCTTTGCTTAAAGCGTACCAACCTACATATGTACATATGTATGTATGTGAATACTTATTCTATTCCACCTTTTCTTCTCTCTTTGGATACCGGTGATATAAAATAACAAACATTGGGTCAAATAAGTTTGCGAACATTGTATTTGGAAGTTCGGTGTGCAAAATTCAATAATTTTATTTCTTTATTATTGGAGCATGATGTGACTCGTATGAGCAATTTTTTTCGGAAATTTAAATTTTTGTTAAATTTTCTCGTGGCTTGCATAAGTCCGAAAAACAGAATTGGATACCCACAGACAATGGGGCAGACACATGTAAGAGGAGTTTCAACAATGCAACAACTTGCCGCAGTTGTTACATGGTCAGAAAGTTGTGAATTGAAATTGAACAATCGCTGTGGCAACATTTTGCCAAGCGAAAAGAGAGCAGAAAATGTTGGGAGGGGAGGTGGGTGGAAATTACAGGAAAGGAAGAGATAGGAGCTACAACTACTTAAAACTTGGATGCCATTTGTCGCCTGGTTCACAAAAGGAGTGAAGGAATGCACTGAAAACTATATTTTCACCTTTCAGGAATGTCAAATCCCTCTCCAGAAATTAACAGAAAATTATCTTACAAGAATTTATCAGCTTAAATAAAGTTGCAGCAAGTCATAAATTTCTTTATATTTTATATGTTTCATGACCTCTCTCGCCTTATTTATTTTTCTTGGCGTGTTGAGCTTTTCCTGCCAACTTTGCCTTTCCTTTGCCGGATGAAAAGTGAAGAGGGAAAAGCGGGGCTGCCCCGTGTGTGCATTTTAGCATTGAGTTTCCGACTCCCTCCCGATTCCGTGATAAGTTATCTGGAGGCAGCCGCGTTGTCTGTTACAAATGTTGCAATATTTATGCCTACACACATGAAGTGGGGAAACCCGGATGGCAGGAAATTCGTATTATGATTCGCACATTATGCAAATTGGCGTTATCGTAAATATTTCGTTTCGTTTTTCTTGGCGGGAAGAAAAGAGGCCGCCGCCGTGTGCTTATGATAAATGTGATAAGCGATATTAGTTCGAAGGAAAAACAATGCGCGGAAATCACATAAATTAAGGCAATCCATTGGGGATTTATGCGCTTAATACTGTAACAATATATTACACGTAAATATGTGAACCTAATAGGTAAACGACTTTATTTTGGGTTTCTAATAAATGTGTATTCTGTGACTAATTTGTAATGTATTTGATGGATATCAAAAAGTGACTGATACGAGTATTTAAATAAATTCAATGCAAATGTATCCCTATATATATTTTATCATGCATATACTCAATTATTTAATATGGAAATTCTGATTCCCATATATGAAAAGCAAAAATGGAAGGTAATGTTTTCTGACATTAATTGAAAGCCATCAACACACAAGTACAACCAAGGCTAATCGAACCCTCATCGCTGATAATATAGATGGCTTCATTTCGTTTTAGCCGCCAATCGAGGCTGTCAAAGTTGGGACTGTGAATGGAATTGATTTATCTGCGATACGAACACCCGGCTCAAAATCGCTGTTAACATATGATGTATGCAAATTGCCAACAATTTGATTTGCCATTCCTTGGCAAGATAAGTATTTCGTCAAGTGCCAATATGCAAATGTCGGTGGAATCTGTGAGTGTGCTCCAAGCTGACAATGACACTCACCATGGATCCCGGCTCATCTTCATCTTCTGGCCATTCATTGAATGCAAATGAGTAAATCGGTAAACAGCCAGATATGCATACATTGTTTATTCGAAGGCACTCTTTGTTCAGCTCGAACTTGGCACCGAAAATATGACTCAGATGGAGAAGGTGTAGGAGAAAACTTCCGTATGAAATATTTATAAACCCATAAATGCATGACATCTTAAGTGAAGGTTGCTTCGACATTTGAAGGATGCACTGGGAACGCAGCCAGCTGCAAGATCCTCATCATAACCATTCCCCTCTCCCCTCATCATGGACGACTTCAAACGAAAACGAAACGTGTTGCCACTTTAACTGCCATTTAAATATATACAAAACGCAGTGAAACACATGAAAGGCAACTTCCCTCCCATTACCTGGCCCTCAGCTCATTGCATTGACATTTATTGGCCGCATTATTTCAACGCCGTCAGTCAACACTCGAGGGATCTCAATCGAAACGAGGAGCTCCTGCTCCTGCTCCTTCTCCTTTCCACTTTTTTTTTCTTTAAGAGTGTCTTTCCCGAATGGGCAAACTTTTTACATCCAGCTTGGTTTGCGGTGCGACTGGGTAAGTCCACTGGGTTCTAGCCTCGGAATGTGACACAAGAGGGCCTTAAATGTTCTAAACTGGTTTTACTTATTTATTTGCATTTTAGGACTTTAATATTTGCTTTAATATTTCATTTTGACTATAAATCATCTACTTTTTAATAAAAGAGTATCTCTCTATTCGATTCATCCTGTCCCAAGCTTAACTTTACCTTTTTTCAAAATGATTTTTGCATAAAATCCGACGGCGTGAGGGCGCGGGTTAAAGCCCAGGCAATTTATCAACATGCTGCCTACTACTTGTCTGAAAGTTTTTGGTACCTCAGTTTGCACCTTTGTTCCCGCTCGGTTGTAAAACTTTTGCCTTGGCACCGCAGGCGTTTCGAGGATCCCAGTGGGTGGAGGTCGACAGTAAGTAGGAGGGGGGAGGGGGCGGGGCTGCGGGAAGGGCGGAACACGATGCGGCGCTAACGAGGACAAGCGTTTATGTCAAAATCCAATACGTGATGCATTTAGCGCAGTCGACGGCACTCGCTGTGCGGATTTTACTGCACCGAAGGGCAAATGCTATCCAGTAGGCGAAGGAGGAGGGGAAAGAGGGGATTTGGACCCGATACGCCATTCTTGGCCTAATTGGATGGGCAAATGTTAAGCATTCCATTTGAATAGCAATCTTAAGGGCTTAAAGACTGCAGGACCCTAAAAGGGAGATTGATGGTGAAGAGGTTTGGGGTGAATTGCAGTGTTGATTAGGTGGCGATAAAAGTGAGAAGCTGACAGATGAGAAGAGCTTAAGTTAGTTTTTATATAATTTAAGTATATTTATTCCCAACTCAAGATGAGTATCTTGGAATAATAGCAATATAAAGTTCCAATAAAATTTATCTGGTAATTGGAAGTGTAGTCTTGGCATTAATTAAACTATTTAAATTGTTTTTCAGCTTCTGGTTTTTAACCATCAAATGCTGAATTACATCTACGCCTCCCTTTAATCGTCAGCAAATTCTTGCCCCACATGGAGGCACACTCTCCATAACCAAAATTATAATTGGGGCGCTGATTGTCCGTTGCGAAAGGAGCAAACAAATGAAGAAGGACACCGGCAACTCACCTGAACCTGGCCGAATCCGTTGTTTGGTCCTTTTGCCACCCCAAAAACGGCCCGTGGATCCTGTCCTTCGCTGGTCACATGTCCTATCGCCATTTATCTTGATTTGTACAAACCTAACGACGTTTAAATGCTTGTTCCAAGCATTTTCCACCATTGCAGCATTTCGGCTGGCATCACGTTTCCACTTTCCCCTTTCCCTGTTTTCCACCCCCTTTTACCGTTGCCTGCAACAATTTACCCCCATTTTCGGTTCGTCATCGCTTTGGTTTGGGCCATGTTTATGCTTGAATAATGTTGACAAAATCGGACAGTGGAAGAAAGGGGAGCTTGCGACGGGGGAAAGTGGGAGAAAGGAAGTAAGAAACGAAGAGAAATAGCTGCAAAAAGATACAAACCAGTTACACGCCATCATGGACATGCAACCGAAGCTAAACACCATGAGTACCCCCTCCCCCTCCCCCTTTTTGACCCCTCCTCAGTCGCTGGAAAATCCCCTCCCCTCCCCTCCCCGCCCTTTCGGTGGCACCTCGCGAATTCGCAGACAAATTGTCCAGCTGAGCTGCCTTTTGGCATGGTCCACCGTTTTCCTCTGTCTTGGGTGTGAAAATGTTAGCAAAGTGCCAACAACAAAGCCCAGCCTCTGTGAGCCTTTCTTTTTGATAGAGGGAGAAAGGGGGCAGAAGATCTAGAGATGGAAGGAGATGTGATATATAGATATAGATAGCCTGGCGCAGTCGTGACTTTGATGTAAGTTACCTTCTGTGGGTGGTCAAGTCGCGAACAAATTGTTGAAAACGATCAGAAAATATAATACTGAGTAATATCCTGATATTTGTAAGCTAAAATGTTTACCTATTAAAAATTATAAATTCCGAAATCCAAATTAAATCTTTCACTCTATCGAAAAAATTTAAGCTAACTTTGATAAAATTTTCCAGCGATTTTCCCGTTGTGGTCGCCCATCTCTAGCCAGCCTGCTGCATTTAGTTTTCCTTTTTGCCGCTGTCTCTGTTTTCCGGCTGATGGCATGGGTAAATGTTTTAGCAAAACGGTAACGGTAACTCACCGCCGTGTTATGACAAGTGGCTGCGTTCCATGTGGCAGCCATTCCGGGCCATAAAGCAAATTGATGATGAAAAACTTGCCGCCGTGTCGCGGCCTGTTAAATGTTGGCCATAAAAGTGAAAATTCTTGTCAGCTTGCGGTCACCGTTTGTTGGGCCAAATCGGCGAAATCTTTAAGTGTTGGCATGCATTTGAGTTTATTTATGCGTATTTATGTTTATTCATTTTGATATTATTGCCGGGATATTGGTTTGCGTAAGCCGCACCTGCGACAAAGTCATAACCATAAAAGGAAGCCCCGATTTATTGGAGCAAAACGTGTGGTTTTCGGGGAATAAAATTATAATAAACAAAATCGTAAAATACTCGGTTATGAAAATGTTTTTTCTTAGCGCTTAAAGATGGATGAAAAGAAAAGAATTTATATAACATTTTATATATTTATCCTTATAAGCAATATTTTATTTAAATTTTCTCCAAGAAACTCTTCGTC